ATAAAAGTCACCAAAAACATTTTGAGCAATTTTGAGCAATAGTACTAGAGTGAAATATAAACGTGCATCTGCATTCTCCATGAATTTCATAACTTGCTATGATCATGGTAAAGAGAAAACCTGTGTTTAGTTTCAATAGTTAGCTGGAGTCTGATCGAAAACGTGTCTCAAAAATTACTTTTACATCATTTTTTCCGATTATTTTTACAGCTCCGAGTCGTAACGATAGAATCAATCAATTTAGAACTAACATGTATGCTATCGGAAAGCATTTTGGCACAATTTTACTGAAAAGACGAGTTTTCAATGCTCATGAATATTAATTTACGCAAATGAGACAAGTATTTCAACCAATCGTGTCATGCAACTCCCTCCCCTGGATGGTATAGTTTGTCGTGTCACAAGACTTTTATTTTCTGTCTAACTTGAAGTTGTATTAAAAATTTGTTGTGAACAAATGCTCTAAGATTCAGTCGCCGCATATATGGCAAAAACAACTATTCTGTTAAACCACGGATTACACAAATATATCTAAGGCACTTCGACATTTTTAAAGCACGTGCATATCCTCTAAAAAGAACCCGAAATGAGATTACATTGAATTATCATAATCGTTTGATATTCGGGAATGACATTTTAATCCCCTAATGAAAATCACGTGATATAGAATATGAATAGTATTTTGAAGTTGAGTTTAATTCTTTAGAATTTGAGTAAAATCTCAATGATATCTTAAACAAAATGTCAATTCTGAAATGAATTCTAATTCAAGGAATTTCGAGCTGAATTGAAGATTATAATTGTATGTATTAAGGATTATGGGTTTATGTCATTAGGATTCATAAAAAAAAAGAGGGGTCACCGGAAAACATTTCGCGATACAAAGGTCCGACATTCATGGCATATAGTCAAAATTGACAGTCTTTATTATTTTTTCTACCATATACAATAGGAAGTTCTCTTTCATAATGCATTGCATATATGCGCTGTAACATTCTCTGTACAGTACTGTACATATAAGTGAAATTGGCAATTAAGGTGGAGATGCAGGTTCGTGGGCACTTGGGAGTGATTTTTTTTTGCTTTTTATTATCCAAACAGTCTTGGCTATAGACTGTTAAAATTCTGTAGAATTGTGAATAGTGGAACATACTCAAAAAACGATTTTAAAATATAGATAACAACTGCAAACAATATCTCTTGAATGCTTAGCAAGATTTAGCAAGGCTGTACATAAATAATAAAAAAGAAACATGGTGAAAAAAAGAAATGACGGAATCTCCATATTATGCACTATATTTAACTTTTAACAAATCGATAATACATTTAAATTTCGAACTGTTACAGCCATTTTAATTATGAGCATTAGCAAACTCAGGCTTCTTACTGAGTGGATTGTTATGCAAATTAGCAATTATCTCAGCTTCTTTTTAGTGCACATCCCAGAACTTTAAAAAAAATAGCTCCTAGACGCTTTGACCTTTTGTTTTGAAATTTTCACAAATGATTGACATTGTGTTTATCTTCAAAACGCCGTCGTCGGGGCATTGTTTTTGGTTGAACAGTGTTACAACAATCGTACAGACAACTAGCCTGGGTGTTAATTTATGCATAAACTTGAAGTAGTGAAATTTGAGCTGCTGCCCTGCTAAAACCCCTCGTGGAGAACACTGAATTACTGATATATAACATGCTTTTTTGAAGTGGTTGAACTGTTGGTAGCCGAACATCAAGCGATAGGGACGATTACGTCATGTTAAAACTAGTCAAATTGATTTGGGTCATTCCAACCTTTTCAAAGTTAACAAAGTTGTTCATTTAGGAGACCTAACAATGGTAAAGTTGGCAGGGTGTGGGGTGCGTGCTAGTAAGGTGTATGGTAAACCTATGTTACCTGTGGACTATTTATTTTTATCAGCTGGAACCCGTTATAATTTGTATTCAGCGATGGTCAGATGATCACACGTCTTCGCTGAATTGATCACATGACAGTGTCACCTGATCGTTAAGACCGCTCTCTAATGGAACGAACGCGCTCTGATGGAAATGCTCGAGCTAGGTCTCTCTCTCTCGAACTCGGTGAAAAACAGTTCCGGCGTCACAAATCACGTTGTCGCTTGTATGATACTACCAATAATTGAATTTGATTTGCACTCACCTATTGCGCATTCCTTGTCTAGTATGTCATCTGTAGAAATCCAATGAATAACTTGATTGGTCTTATACTTTCAAAATGTTTTATTCCGCATTATAATGACAATTCCTGACCGTTTTGGCTGTTGTATGGTCGTTTCTTCACAAATGTATGATTTTTTCACCATTTCACATTTATGATTTTTATTTTGACCATAATGGCCAAATCATAGTGATAAATATGTTCCCATTATTTTACAAAACGGTTCAAAATGGTCAAAAATATTAAACAAATTGTCATAACGTATTAAACAAAGATTAAATTTGTTATAACAATAGTAAAATACTATCATATAATGCCGAAAGTCCAAGAAAATATCATAAAAATGAGTGATAGTATAATGCAAAGCAAATAATGAAACAAAACAATCATAGAATGCTCAAGTAATGGTAATAATATCGTCAAAAACTTAAAGTGTTTTGAAAGAGAGAAAGAAATTAATAAATTGTAAATGTCACGGGCTTTACTTTACATATCATATGCTTTTTCAACTATTTCGCCACTATATTCGTACAAATCTCCCGTTTTTACTTATTTATAGTCAAACAAGAACTAACCTAAAGGCATACTCAACACTGACGCTGCAAAAAAGTGAACCGGTTGTAGGTTCGATCTGTCTACTCACCCAGCAACATATTCTAGACAGACCAACATCACACACGGCAGTGCCCTGGAAATAATGACGTAAACAACTCGCTTTGTGTTCTGTATTCACGGTTCGTTAAATACTGGGATAGTCATAAGTCATTCCATACAAAAAGGAAAGTAGAAAACGTGGGTTATTGCACATTGTTACTACTTGGTACCTCAATGACGCTCCCAAGACACTTGTTTAGATAAATTCCAACTCCAAACATAAAAATTCGAACTGTAGAAATATTTAAAACCCAAAATGATAATTAAACGCTCATATTTGTTGCGATCATAGGATATAAGGTAGACTGGCACAATCTGGGCGATTTATTTCTTTTTAAATTTAAAATTAAATAAAAAAAAAATAGCGAAATGGAGGTGTTAACGCGAAATTCCCTTTAACCGCGAAATCACCCGGGCCCAGTCCGTGGTGTTTTCGCGTTTCCCACCTTTCGCAAAACTATTTTTCCATTTGTTTTAACTGAAAAAAAATCACCACAGCTGAGCCAGTCTAGATGCTTATAAGGCACAAAGATAGTATTATCTGGTTGTTTGTCTGTTTCAACCTACTTACGCATTTCATTCACATGAGCGCACACTAGCAGCATGTGGTGTACATAAAATACG